GTGTGTGTGTGTGTGTGTGTGTGTGTGTGTGTGTGTGTGTGTGTGTGTGTGTGTGTGTGTGTGTGTGTGTGTGTGTGTGTGTGTGTGTGTGTGTGTGTGTGTGTGTGTGTGTGTGTGTGTGTGTGTGTGTGTGTGTGTGTGTGTGTGTGTGTGTGTGTGTGTGTGTGTGTGTGTGTGTGTGTGTGTGTGTGTGTGTGTGTGTGTGTGTGTGTGTGTGTGTGTGTGTGTGTGTGTGTGTGTGTGTGTGTGTGTGTGTGTGTGTGTGTGTGTGTGTGTGTGTGTGTGTGTGTGTGTGTGTGTGTGTGTGTGTGTGTGTGTGTGTGTGTGTGTGTGTGTGTGTGTGTGTGTGTCAATGCTGACGAAAGAGGCAGAAAATAAACATGGGGCTCATGGGGAGTATTGTAATCCCGACTTCCTGTCACAGTCAGCGCCTATTTACAGCCCAACAATGGGCAAGGCACAGCCTCTCCACACACACACACACACACACACACACACACACACACACACACACACACACACACACACACACACAAAGCAGGTTGGGTCACTCCATTTTTAGTGTTGACATTGTGTGTGTTTGTTTAGAGTGAGACTGATATTGATTGGTTAGCTTATACTTGTATCATGTTATAGAACAATACAAAAGGTTGGCGTTACCGGATAAGTCTTTTGTCCTTCAGTAATACCTGATACAGATGTTTCTACAGACAGAACACATTTAGTACTCAAATGTGGGAAAGCAGTTTCAATTATAAAACACATTTCAGGAGAAAATCTGTTTTATATTCTCTGGCGTACGAGGATTTCTCTAAAACGTTGTATAACAATGTCAGGGGGAGACTTGGGTTCACAAAAATAAACAATCAGACAAATGTATAAGTTTCAAACAAATCACAAGGTTAGTCAAATGTATTTGATGGATAGTCTGAATGCTAACTTTTGGTGCCCTGTTGGGCTTAGTCTTGAGCAACATCAGCAACAAATATAAAGTTATTTCCACTGGAGGCAATGGACAGAGCCATGAGCAACTTATTGATATGGACTCCTTTGAGCTATTACACAACAGAACTCGGGTATTGTGTTGAAACCAGCATACAAATATAATAACACAAAAATAACAATACGGTGGCGATTGAAATGGCTTCAAACTGTGTTGAGTGTTTTTAAATCTGTGTCCATTCATTGCTGTGAAGTTCCTGCTCTCGGTGTGTCTCTCTTTACTTTGATCAAAATGTTTGGGACCATCGTGGTCCTGTGTAATCGCAGCCTTAATCCCTGGCCTAAAATCACACACTGTAATAACTGAGCTGATAGAAAGCTTCACCCCACTTCCCCGGCGGGCTTTGCCTAAATCCATACTTGCATTGATTGTCCAATGTACTCTGTTGGTTAAACAGGGAGCGGGATAAAGCTGTGTCTCCTGCCTGATAAGTTGTGGTGGTGTGTGTAGGGACACACACGTGTTTGTGTAGGCCTGAATGAGATGGCAGTTATAGAGCCAGGATATGGGAGAGGTGTGTGTGTGTGTGTGTAAGGCGAGTGCTGTGGGCAGCTAAACACAGGCACTCAAAGAATCTCTTTCTTCTCGTTTGAAGTGAGTTCAAATGCTCTTCAAAGACTGTCTGCCTGTATGACGGCGCAGGAGGGGGGGAGGAGGAGGGGGGGGGGGGGGTGGAGAAAGAAGGGCGACCATGTGCTCTAAACACAGCTTCAGTTGCCCCGGCTAGGATTACAAAAAGTTGTCTGCTTCCAACTATGCAGTGTGTGTGTGTGTGTGTGTGTGTGTGTGTGTGTGTGTGTGTGTGTGTGTGTGTGTGTGTGTGTGTGTGTGTGTGTGTGTGTGTGTGTGTGTGTGTGTGTGTGTGTGTGTGTGTGTGTGTGTGTGTGTGTGTGTGTGTGTGTTGTGTGTGTGTGTGTGTGTTGGTGTGTGGTGTGTGTGTGTGTGTGTGTTGTTGTGTGTGTGTGTGTGTGTGTGTGTGTGTGTGTGTGTGTGTGTGTGTGTGTGTGTGTGTGTGTGGTGTGTTGTGTGTGTGTGTGTGTGTGGTGTGTGTGTGTGTGTGTGTGTGTGTGTGGTGTGTGTGTGTGTGTGTGTGTGTGTGTGTGTGTGTGTGTGTGTGTGTGTGTGTGTGTGTGTGTGTGTGTGTGGGCCTTTGGGATGAGAGGTTGGTTGAACCTAATTAACATTTTGGAAGCCGTAGTCTCTGTTGCTGACGAAGAAATAAGTGAGAGTTGTTTAAAAAGAGTTGAGAATGTTGAACTAAAGGCAACACTGGGAACTGTTGCTCTGCAGTGAGAACAAAGTGAGGCATTGTTACGACAGACAGTTGAACCTTTTACCTGCTTCGGTGGATTTCTCTTTCACATGTGCGCTCCCTCAAAGACTACAGATAAAACAAAGCACTACTTTGCTCTAACACGCAACGTCTGGTCAATGTAAGGAAACCGGCGCTGGCTTATAGCATTCCCTAACTAGCATGCTGCTAACTCTTCACCATGAGATGGCCCTAGTTTTATTCAGTGTGTGTTGTCTTTTAAAGGTTGATGCAAGTGCAGTATGTCATGACATTGTGCTGAGTTGCCCTGATGCACGAAACTCATTTATTTTTAGATTCTTCGGATTTTGTTTGTTTTTCTACCTTGTATTTATATCAAACCTGTATACGTGGGCCCGGGCACAGCTTGTTGACTTTTCTGTCATCAGCTAATTCGATCACTGTCCTGTTGTGGTTTTAATTCTGCATGACTTCCTGCCTGTCTCCGTGCCTCCCCTCGCCTCGCCCCTCCTTCCCCGGCCCTTGTGAGTGTCTCCCCTAGAGCAGAAATTACATGCTGCTTTGTGCCTGGCGTAAACAATGTTTTCAACAGTGCAGGCCTGTCCTGTCTCTCTCTCCCTCACCCATCGCCTCAGGGGACGAGTGGAGAGCGCGGGGAGAGAGTTGGGATAAAGAGCGGGGGGGGGGGGGGGGGGGGGCTGGATTGATGAGAGAAAGAGAGAGACACAGGGTTATCAGTAGGATAAAGGGAGGAGGGTAGAAAGGGAAAAAAAGCAACAGTCTGTTCCCAGAGACAAATCAGCCCAACCATTCTGTGTAATAAGCATAATAAGAGGGGGTGAAGGGCGACACCTCCACACACACACACACACACACACACACACACACACACACACACACACACACACACACAGACAGACGTCTGGATAACAACCATTCAGTATAATGATAGTCAATGGGCTTTGATTAACTCTGCATTACCTACATACCCTGCAGCCCCTGTCTGTGTCAGCACACTTCACTTAAGTTGTGCCGGCAGACACAGGCCGGAGGAAGGGAAAGCAGAGACGAGTGCTATTAAAGCAGATAGGTACGCAGACATCATTTGGGTTCAAATAGGAGACTTATCGGTGGCAGTTTGGGTGAGCATGCCACAAAAGCTTGCTATGTTCCTCACGGACAAACACGGCGTCTTTCTTCCTTTCTTCCTCTTCCCTTCAGAGTGCGAGGGTTGGCAGAAAAGGATCTAGACTAGGTTACGTAAAGAGAATGTGGATCTGGGGAAGATATGTTACATAAAGAGCTGGACAAAGGTTAATAAAAATGGAGCCTTGTACTGTAGGCAGGAGCCATGGGACGGAGAGAGAGAGAGAGAGAATGGACATTACATAAAGAGAATTATTGGTGGCTTTGCTCTGCTGTTACATAAAGAGATGGGTCCATCTAGAAAACATGAATGATGGAAGCTGTAGCTCTGTGTGCTACTTGTCTGACCAAATCTGAATTTAAAATACACTTGTTTCCCCTAATTCCTGACTTAGGAAAATATGCACAATGGGAACACGATGTTGAATGTTTCGAACAATATTACTTGTGATCTTTTAACAGAATTGAAGGTGAACTCTGTTCTGACTTGTTGCCACTTAAAGGATAATGCCCGAAAGAAATGTATAACAAATTAAAGGAAGTTAATCCAATATTCCTTTCTTCAACAAATTGAGCGTTGAACTATACAACAAATAAATAAAAAAGTTACATTTTCACGTGCAGTTTTCTACGGGTGCTTGTTTTACCAAAATGTGCAACATAATGAACAGCCATCTTTCTGAAACTATCTTAGACACACACACATGCACGCACACACACATTAACACACACACACATTAACACACACACACATTAACACACACACATTAACACACACCTGTCGAACATACACACAACTGCCCACCAGAGGTTGCGCTAGACTTTTTCACTGCCCGTCATTTTGACGGACAGGATCGTAACATTTCCGTCAAAATTCAGTATTACCCATCGGCCTTTACACTCTGGGGGGGGGGGGGAAGAGAGAGAGAGAACTGTCTACCGGGGGGCGGGGTGCACACGCTTGTGAACTGTTAGCGCCGTGTTATACATGACTGCTTTCAGATTTTTGCCTCATTGTTATAAAAAAAAATATTCGGTTAACGTGACCTCTGCTGCCCACACAACCTTTAGGCCTTACACACATCCACATTTGGCATCAAACATTGACCTCTGTTGACCTCCCAATGGTTTGTTTATCCTTCCACACAACATCCACAGACCCGTCTATCCACCGCCTCATCTATCTGTTTTCTCTCCCTTTCTCCCCCCCCCTCTCTCTTCTCTGCACCCCTCTCTCTTCTCTGCACCCCTCCCTCCCTATACTGGGTCTGCTTTGTGCAAATGTCATACAACACTCTGTAATATCTATCATTAGAAGAGACGGGGGGGGGGGGGTTGACATGAAAGACTCATGCTTATTAAAGTGTGTGCTTGAGTGTGCAGGCGCATCTGTCATAGTGTCAATGACTTCAGGAACTGAAACATACTTCAAATGAGGGGTATATTATAATGATGTTATTGGTGGTTAGGCTAGGGTAATGAAAGCAGCAGATACAACGGTCTTTAGTGCGTTAGGCATGTGTGAGCATCTTCAAATAAAGTGTATTTGTATTAAAGTCTGTTTTATTCCCTTGACAGATACTACTACAACAAGAGGATCCTCCATAAGACCAAAGGAAAGAGGTTCACCTATAAGTTCAACTTTAATAAACTGGTGTTGGTCAACTACCCCTTTATCGACATGGGCTCCTCTGGTAAGCTGTGTGTGTGTGTGTGTGTGTGTGTGTGTGTGTGTGTGTGTGTGTGTGTGTGTGTGTGTGTGTGTGTGTGTGTGTGTGTGTGTGTGTGTGTGTGTGTGTGTGTGTGTGTGTGTGTGTGTGTGTGTGTGTGTGTGTGTGTGTGTGTGTGTGTGTGTGTGTGTGTGTGTGTGTGTGTGTGTGTGTGTGTGTGTGTGTGTGTGTGTGTGTGTGTGTGTGTGTGTGTGTGTGTGTGTGTGTGTGTGTGTGTGTGTGTGTGTGTGTGTGTGTGTGTGTGTGTGTGTGTGTGTGTGTGTATAGGATTACTCAGCAGAACATTATATATTATTTCTGAGATTTTTTTTCTTCTCCTTCCCTCAACGTCTCCAGGAAGCAACGTCCCTCAGAGCGCCCCCCCAGTCCCCTCCGGTGTCAGGTCTCACTTCGGCTTCCCTCCCGCCACGCCCAACGAGGTCCTCTCCCCGAACGAGGACCTGCGCAGCCCGGGCGGCATGTTCAGCTCCGTGGCCCGACGCATGGCCCGAGGCTCCGTGAGCGACTGCAGCGACGGCACCTCGGTCAACTCTGAGATCGAGGAGGGCAGCAACACGGCAGCGGCGGAGGAGAGGGGGGAGAGAGGAGGAGGAGGAGGACCTGGTGGTGGTGGTGGTGGTGGAGGACCTGGTGGTGGTGGTGGTGGTGGAGGAGGAGGAGGAGGAGGAGGAGGAATAAGTTACCGTAGCCTCATCCATCCTCGTTTGTCTCATGAGACGCTGTTCCGCATGTATGGAGGTCCGGGCAGCCACGCAGGGCACCATGGCTCCCGAGGCCACACCGGGCACCGCATCCACCCTGATTCTCTCTCTCCCTTCCCCGTCTCCCCCCTCCCAGGCCCAGGGGGAGCCGGCCTCCTCGCCCCTCCTCTCTCACCAGCGCTCTCCATGACCCCGACATCTCACCTTCCCTACACCCCCTCACCCAGCCTCTCACCCATGTTAGGCTCCCACTTCTCCTTCAACCCGGAGGACATGAAGCGCTACCTGCAGGCTCACACCCAGTCGGTGTACAACTACGGCCTGAGCCCCCGAGCCTTCCTCCATTACCCCAACATCATCATCCCGCAGCCCCAGAGGCCGGCCGCGGAGAAGGCGGGTCTGTCCGGAGAGAGGGGGGAGAGAGAGAGGGGAGGAGAGCGACACCACCATCCGTCTCTGTCTCACTCTGTCCACCACCATCCACATCCACCTCACTCTGCCCACCCTCACATCCACTCTCACCCCATGCATCACCCTCTGCACCTGAGTGAGGAGCCTCCACACATGTCCCCCTTCAAGTTCAAGTTGCAGCCCCCGCCCCTAGGGAAGAAGCAGAGGGAGAGTCAGAAACCCCGGCAGAGCTCTCTCTCCTCGGGGTCAGGATCCATGACCTCCACGTCCGGCCTCGGCTCCTCGCTGTCGTTCGGCAGCGACCTGAGCTCGGCCGGCTGCTCCGGACTCATCTCCGCCTCGTCATCAACGCAGTCGCTCAACAACGCGGGACTCCCCAAGATAAAGGTGAGATACACTGACCACCAACTGATCCACGCTCAAAGAATGACTGGTTACCTGTTTTGTACATGGTTTTCCAATGAGCAATAGCCGACAAATGTGTGACTTCTTAATAAAAATCTTCACGTCACGTTTTGCCAGTTCAATGCCTTTGATGTGAAGCTGTAGAAAATGTGTTTTTTTTTTTACTAACAATGACCTAATATAGCTATTTTCCGGGAATGTCAACACAAACTCCCACTGCCTTATACTGCAAATCTAATGTCATCTAAACTAAATATAATGCAATTCAATCTATATTGCAATACTTTTAGTGAGTCATAGGTTCAATTTTCATTGTGTTACCGCAGCAACGATAAAATTGGCTATAAATAAAAAATTGCTTAACAGATATTTCTATGAAAGTCCTCATTATAAGACCTTTAAAAACTCCATTACAACATAGTTTCATAGCAAGCTAGTAAATCTATATCATTACATTGGGCTTCAATGGTTTTCACTGTTCCTTATGACCAAGTCTCAATAATGTCATAATTGATTGTAAGTAAGTTTCTATATGTCCAGATGTGTTCATCTTTCTCCCTGTCCGTCCAGGTGGAGCCTATCTCTGACATCGAATCAGAAGAAGAGGTGGAGGTGACCGACATCAGTGACGAGGATCTGGATGAGAGAGATGAAGAGTTTAAGCTCTTCTCCCCTCGATACCCCAGAGCCCCTGAACACCACCACCACCTCCTGCACCTCCACCACCACCACCTGGCTAACGGCTCAGGCGCGCCCTCACATCACCACCACCTCCACCCCGAAGAAGACCTGGACGAAGACGTCTTCAAAACCCCTGCTCCGCCTCCACCTGGCCTGACACCTTTCTTCACCTCTCAGCACACGGCACATCGCACGCTGCTGCCCCCCCCCCTGAAGAGTGAACCGGTGGAACCAGTGGAGAGCTGCACCCCCCCGCCTCAGACCAAGTGCATCCCCCTCAAGCTACGCTTCAAGAGGCGCTGGAGCGAGGACCAGCGCATGGAGGCCTCTCAGGAGGAGTCGGACGACAAGAAAGTACGACCGGAGGAGGAGAGGGAGCGGGAGAGGCAGAGTAATGGGAGGATGGAGACGGAGGAGGACGGGACAGGAAGTGGAGAGGGGGACAGTCCTCCTCCACTGGCGTACGAGGGGTCGTTAGCGACGCCGCAGAGCTCGCAGCGGAGGGTGAGTGCCGAGCTGCACCGAGCCACCGCTCAGCTGTCTCTGGAGAACAAGGACTGCTGATGACACATGCCGCCCCGACACTACTGCTCCCGTAGCACTGGAGGTGGAGTATGTAAATGTAAGCCCCCTCCCACACTGACAAACTAGATTCCTGAGAGCACAGTCCAACCAACACACGATGAAAACCAACACCTCAAAGACAGCCTGACACCACCACTCTCACGTCCTTTGGGAGGTGCGACTGTAAATCAGAGGGAGGCTCAGAGTTCACCTCCCACCTGGCCAGTGAAGCTGCAGACCCCCCAAACTCCCCAGTAGCACAGCTCACACCTCATCCATAGGATCAGCAGCCAGTCAGCCCTTTTCCTCAGGAGGCACACACTCCCTTCAAGGAATACTTCACCCGCTGAATGACCATGTTGTTTATCAATCACTCAGCCCGTGCTGCCTTTAACATCGACTGGATTCCTCCATGGTGAACGAAGAAAGACACAAACACAGTTTTAACAACAGTAAGACTTCATAAAAAACAAACAATCTCTCCCCCAAGTTGTGCAGCATTCTACACGTATCCTGCAATTTCATTTAAACGTTTTTATTTAAACACTAAGGACTCGTAGTGTGGTTGCAAGGGTGTTTTAAATAATAAGTGAAAATGCACGTGTTTGGGATGTAGCGAACTGGACCTTCTTTGGACCCCTCGTTCACCCTGGAGAAACTTCAAGAAATGAAGATAATACGCGGCCAGTTACTGGTATTCAAATAGTCATGTTGTGGGTAAAGTGTCCCTTTAAGAACCTACCATCACACCTGGGATGAGGATGTGCACACTCTCCCTCTATGCTGATGGGACTTTGATAAG